CCGGCCTCCTCTGCCTGCTGGGCCCACTGACCTGCCCTCTCTGTGTCACAGGGCTGCTGTGTGTCCTGCTGAGTCTCTCCAGAGCCAGAACCCAGGGCTCTCAGGGTGAGTATTGGGGAGCAGCGTGTCCACAGCCAGAGCCTGGGAGGGGCCCTGCACCCACAGCCCAGGGAGGAGACGCCTGGGCAGGGAGATTCGGGGCATCTCCCCATCTCCTGGGACCTCCTCTGGGGACCCCATTACCCCCTCCCAGCCTCTGACCAGTCTGTGCACCCACAGCCTGTAACCCCCGGTGCCCTCCTAACTCGGAATGTGTCAATGCCACCGCCTGTCGCTGCAAGCCGGGGTTTGCCTCTTCGTCTACAGAGATCTTCACTGACCCCCTGGAGATCATTGATGGTAAAGAGGATGGGGGAGGGGCAGAGGCACATCAGAGACTCTAGGTGCCCAATGCCAGTGGGGTCATGGGTAATGGTCAAGGGCTGAGCCTTTGACCTCAAGGCCATCATCAAAGACAGAAAAGAGAAAGGAAAGAGTAAGATGGCAGAGAAACCAGGGAATTGCATGGCTTCCTGCACAGAGAGGACCTGGGCCCCAGGGGTTGTCTCAGCCTTCCCTTAGATCTGGGGAAGGTGACACTGAGCTTATAGCCCACCCCCAACCTTGGCATTGTCCCCTGTGTCCAAACTGGGAGTGTCAGCCAGAGGATTGAGATGAACAGAGCAGACTATGTGGCCTTCAGGAAGAGCTTGCTCCAGCTAGAGCACAGCCTCAGCACTGAAGCCCAAGATTCTCTCCAATAGATTCTAACTCCACGTGAGACCCCATGCTGAGGGGCCAGGTAGGGAAGAGGAGTCTCTTGCCCCAGAGAACACACACCTTTGGGAGGTGACCTTTTGTCCTATTATGTTGCAGACATCAATGAATGTGTGCCACCCATGAAAGTGTCCTGTGGAAAACTTGCTGACTGCCAGAATGTGGAGGGGAGCTACTACTGCACGTGCAGCCCAGGCTATGAGCTCCGTTCTGGGGGAACAAACTTCACTAATGAGAGTGAGAACACATGTCAAGGTAAGGCCTGACCCTCACCCCGACCCCACATGCAGTTCAGGGCACCAGAGCTGATCTGGGGACAGCACCCAGTTATAGCCTCAGCGCCTGGACTGTGAGATGGAGCAGCTGTGCGTGCACCCGTCACCAGCACGAGAGGCGGGTGCCACAGTCTAGCTGGGCACAAAATCATGAGCCACTCAAGCAGGAACAAACTTTATTTCCAAACTCCCCCGAACACCACCCACGCGGCCCTCTCAGGAACACCACACAACAACCGAAACTCCCTCCACCCGAACTTCACCAACCAACCAACCCGAACTCTTCAGGAATCCCTGCAAGAACTTCAAAGTAGCAGACGCCTGAGACAGCAGGAGCTGCCCTATACACAGCCTGTTTCAATCCAACAATCCAGTCACAGCAATTATACACAGCTGAGCTTAATTATCATCATCTTCATGGCTCGCCTCTCAACCTTTACTTCTGGCAAAATGCCAGGGGCCATTCCGACTGGACAGTGGCTCTCAACAGGTGGGGGAGGGTCAGGGCACTCTGGGACCAGCTGCTCGGCCCCATCCTGATACCTCTTCCTGTGACAATGGCCAAGGTGCTTATCAGGAAACCCTGTGGACATGTGTGATGTGATGACATCATTGTTGTTTTCTGTTAAAAAAAAATCCAGGCACAGTGGCCTGTGCCTGTGGTCTCAGTTAGTTGGGAGGCTGAGGCAGGAGGATCACTAGAGCTCAGGAGTCCAACTCAGCCTCGGAAACAGAGAGACCCCATCCCTAGCAGGAAAAGTGGGGGAGAGAGAAAAAGAAAAAGAAAACCACAGGAAGGAGCCCCTATCTTCTAAAGCTACAAACAAAGGTAGAGGCTGGGGTGTGACTCCCGGGAACAGCCATTGCCTGGCATGAGCAGGGCCCTGGGCTCCCCCTGCAGCACTGCAGAAAATCAAAACCAAACCAGAGGAAGCTTTGCTCTTGGTTCACTGTGTGACTTCAGACAAGTCACCTCACCTCTCTGTGCTGCAGTGTGTCCATCTGCAGAAGGGGAGTCCTGGGACTGAGGTGTAGCTCAGTGGTAGAGCACTTGTCTAGCAGGTGTGAGTCCCTGGGTCAGTCCCCAGCACCAGGGGAAGAAAGGGGGAGAGGGGGAGAGTCATAAGGAGGGAAATGAGATCCAAAGGCACTGAGCAGGTCCTGGCTCCCAGAAAGTGCTGTTAGCAATGGCTTCTGAGCTGAACAGGGCCTGGGCCCCAGGAGTTGTGCTCACCTGCCCTTAGGTCTGGGGGGATGAGGAGCTTAAAGCCCACGCCCACCTCAGCATTGTCCCCTGGGTCCAGATCCAGGGGTGTCAGCCAGAGGACTGGGACAGAGGTATCCTGTGGCACCCAGGGGCCAAGGCCCTGGCTGACACAGGTGGTGCCCACTCCAGGCCACGGTCCCACCAGCACAGAGAGGGAGGGTGGTGTGACGGCCAAGGTCAGAGGCAGGGATCAGCTCCCTGGGTCCGAAGCCTGGAATGGCCACCCGTGAGCAGCATGGGATCAGCAAAACCACTTCCTCTCTT